TGTGTATTTTGGAATCATATTGCCTAAGTGTTGTATAATACAAATGTGGCATAAGTGCTGATTGATTTGATTTTACAACATTATCCTGCCGTCCTGAAGTCGTACCAATGTAATCCTTTAATTTTCACATCACAATTCAAATGTAAAATTGAGTATTAGCATGTGGACTGATGAAAGGGTATAACTATGACTGACAAGAAAGCATGCACAATATTAATGCTTTTCTTTTACAGCCATTGTTCTACAATTTGAGATTGAGATAATCAGCATTATCTGAGGAAAGGCATGTTCTTTGCTGTGTGTTATGATATCTAAAGTTGCAGATTTTGTGGTGGATTAGAGACTCCAAGCTAATTAAAACACAAGTTGATGACCACAGCTTTAATCAGCTCACCAATGCCTATCAGAGGGAAAAGCCTGCAGATTCAGTTACTGCAGCCATTAGTACATAACTGTATGACAATCCATCGATGTCTACAACAGGACTGATAAAATGTAATCTTAGAATGCTCTTAAAGGCTATCAGAATTAAAGGCCATTGCTGTCATGAAAAGATATTTGGCAACCCTTTCCATTTATTTAGAGATACATGAATGGAAGACGTAAGTTACTGTGAAAGCTTTACTTTTGCCAAGTAGCTTTCCAATTCTTCATGCAATCTTCGCTGTTTCTTGTCACTTTGGTAATATAATGTGAGGCAAAAGTGGGACTTCTTGTTAGTGTGAGTGAGGGATCATTCACTGACGTAACTCAAATGGAAAGCAACTCTCAGCTCTGTTGTCAAAAGGCTGCTGATTCTTAAAAGAACTTGCCTGATCTCAAGATTCTTTTGAAATCAATCTATTCCAACATGTGCGAAAGTCAAGGATGTCATAAAAGTCCAGTATTCTGTCTCTGTGAAAAACTAAGGAGTCAAGAAACAATGTTTCTGATGGAATTTTTCAAATAGGCCCTAATATGAATATATTTGTAAATCCCAAAGCACTGACACCTTAATTTTTTTTACCCCAATGCGAGGTCAGAGGATTCTCAGTTAGTGCCTTAGTAATTCAAATTCTGTTTTATTGATGATTTATGAATTTTTAAAACTGCTATATAAAAATATAGGTGGATAGTGCGTTACCATCTTGGATAAAAGAAAACTGGAGAAGATGAGATGAGAAGAGGCTGTATTTGTACAAAGGCAATCCCTTTCCACAGCAACACATGCTTCTTATTTGATGTTTCAACATTTGGTTTTGATGAAACTCAAATACTACTCAAACTGGTTGCCAAATATTAGAAGGTAGATGATTAAAACATGAATGGAAAGGGCACTTTCTATTTGCAGAAAGAAACTAAAAACACAAGTTTTGTTATCAAAATGTGATATTTTTACTTTCCTTTTCATATGACAGATTACATTTATCCACTGTCTGACTGCCCCTAGCATCATGGCACTTATTAAGTGCAAATTTGTTCAATGTACGTATGTCTAACACAAATATGCAGTACATTTTGCAGAATTTGATTGAGGCTCAGAATTCCCACTGCCTGTCACTATGAGACCTGTTCTGGTAAATACACAGATGAGGATTATTTTCTTTTCAGTTTCCAACTGATATTCTCACTGTGATATCTATCACTGTTAATCATATCTGTGAATCTAGCCAGCATAAATAACCAGTTCAACTATTCTAAAATGTTATATTTTTGTAATTACATATCCACTGTTTAAGAAGTTATTATCTGTGAACTTTTCTACAAACAGTGCTTAGAAATATGGTCAACAGGTATTTCAATAATGATAGCTCACAGTGGATTCCTATTTTGAGCAATGAGTAATGATTTTGCATAATTGTACTTAAGATTCTCTTCACACCGTTAGTATTTTTAATATAAGCTTCTGTATAAATATTAGAGCGTGGGTATCAATGGATGGCATTTGCCTGGGATAGGGAAATGGAGTGTTGGGTTCGAAACCCACAAATTTGCTTTTTCATAGATTGCAGAGTGATTTATGGTCTTGACTTCCAATTGGGCAGGAGGCCATTTAAACCTGGAACAAGTAGGTTCTAACCCCAAACTTGGGGTCTTTGTAGTGCGGAGTTAGAGTTACCTGGTGGTCTAATCAGGGGAACTTGGTAAGCCTGGGAAATACTCCAAATCCTACTAGTCAACAAGCAGTATTATGCAGGCTTTTACTTTCTCCTTAAAGTTATTCTAGCCTCCTTTTATCTGCTGTTTCTCAAAGCCTGGGAATCCTTGCTGCTAACTGTAAAGCTAACAAAATAGATTACAGCCTCATTAAAAAATTTAAGTTGTAAACCTGTCTCCTGGGAACAGGTTGGCTCCCACCTCTCACCCTGCCTGTAAGAAACTGGAAGTGAGTCAGATTGAAGGTCAAAACCCAGAGCTTTTAAAGTTTCACCTGTACCTAGAGCTAGTACTGTGTATAGTTTTTGTTTCCCAACTTGTATTGGAAGCAATTCAGAGAAGATTCATTGGCTGATTCCTAGGATGAAGGTGCTGCCTTATCAGGAAAGGTTAAGCAGGTTCGGCCCATGCTTATTGGAGTTTAAAAGAATGAGAGGTGATCTTATTGAAACATATAAGATTTTGATGGGGCGTGACAGGATAGATGCTAAGAGGATGTTTCCCGTCATGAGACTGTAGATCTAGGGCACATTTTAAAATTAACATTTTACCATATAAGATAGAGATGAGGATGAATTTCTTCTGTGAGTGTCATTTGTCTTTGGAATGCTTTTCCACAGAGAACAGCAGCAGCTGTGTCATTTATTGGGAATACATATCTACATTTAAGAACAATGTGAAAATTTGAAAGGTATGGAACTGTTTGGACAGTTTCTGGATTGGAAAGGGTTAGCTATGTAATTTTACTGAAGAGTGAAGCCACCAGTTTCATATGTGCCATAAACCAGCAGCTATGTATAGAAGAATGAAATAACTTAAGAGAAAAAGCAAGCAAACCTTTCAAGGAAATAGGAGATAGAGTTTATGGCCTTTAGTTATTAGAAAATCTGGAAAGACTACAGATGCCTCTATGCTAATGATTGCTGAGCAACCTTTTCTTAATTTGACATTTTCTGTTTTAAAAGACCTAAGATTCAGCAGGGAAGAAACCTCCGAGGCCAAAAGCCTCCCTCCTAAAATTCTTTTCTCAGTAGAAGTTCCTGGGAACCTGAAAACATTTCAAAATACAAGTATTTCTGACTACCTTGTAAAATGTAGAAAGCTGGACTGTCACCAATTGCCAAAGACTCAAATCCAAGTTGATACCGATCAAGGTTGATTGTAATCAGACCTAAAGTTTGTCCATTGGTTTATGACTGTCACCAATTCAATTGGATGATGAGAAATCATCAGATTCTACTGGTTTTCAGGGTGTGCCCATGAAGTTGTTTTTACCCTTTTGCCTTTGTTTTTAAACCACTATCTCTGCAGAAGCTGTTGTCTTTTTTGTGTTGTCTGAGGTGGATGTGTTTGGGATTAAGGGAAGGTAGTATTAATTCTAGATCAGAACTTAGATATAAAGCAGTGTTTACAATTTGTTTTAAGAATAAATCTTATTTCTAATGGATTAAATGAATTATTTTGAGCTCATTGAAAAAGCCTGGCAAAAATTTCTGTTATTTTGTATGGTTGTACAAAAAGGAAGCAATTCGTGATTTGAACAACACATCTGTATTCATGATGCAACTGATAATGTAATAGGACTAGATCACGAACAGATTCCTCCCATCACTGTCATAACACATTAAATGTATTCAAAGTGACATGAGACATGTTTTTGATCAATGAGACGGTCAAAAGTTGGGGTCCAGTGGCAGTAGGAGGGGCATGGGGAGATGCATGGATTAAGATAGCAAAGTGGATTTAAAGTTAGAGTCAGATCAACCATGATGTTACTGAATGGCAGAGAAGGCTCAAGAGACCAAATGGCCTTCTCCTGCTTGTAAATCTTGATGTTCTTACGATTCTTAAATGTCTACATTTGTGTTTGTTAACAATTATTTTTTGCACAGTCACATTTCCATCATTGTACTTTGTTCATTAGATCAATGTTTAAAATTACAGCCAATTTGAATTGACTAAGTAAGTGGGGAATATTCAACAGAAAGGTGTAAATTATTCCAGAAATCATAGACACATGCAAAATCTGAGGAAGGGTCACCGGACCCGAAACGTTAACTCTGTTTTTCCCTTCACAGAAGCTGCCAGACCTGCTGAGCTTCTCCAGCAACTTTGTTTTTGATGCAAAATCTGAGTTGCATTCAGCATGCTAAATTCTACACTTTTGGGTATTGGATTAAATCTCTACTGGAATTCATTGGTTGATGTACCAAACAATTTGATTTTAGATAATTCCTGGCTTACCAGTTGGCAGTATCCCAGTGAAATATTTAATTTCATTGAAACCATCTTGTTCAGTAGAAACAAAGTCTGGCTGGATTTAGCTGTACTTCATATTACTATTAGTTCTATGCATTTGTTTCATGTGTGGTAATCAGTTCAAGTCATTTGGAGAAATTGGCCACTCTCAAACTTGCCTCTCAATAGTTAAAAACAAGTATAAAGTCAACAGTAACAGATACAAAAAACAGTTTTTTAAAATGCGTCTCTTTTCTTCAAGGGTGAAATTTTATGCAATTAACTACAAATGGTAAAGGACATTGCAGAGGTTGGGGAAACATGAGCTTTGGACATTGTATCTATTATGGTATTTGTGGGTGTAAGGAAGCTGCCACCATCCTTTCTCTTTGCCTGTGGCTAAGGGCCTACTTAGTTTACAGTTAGGTTTATGAGATCTCGAGGTACTGTCTCAATTTCACAACATCAGACAAGATTGAGTGGAATTTAATGGAGTATCCAACATTAGCCATTTTAGAACCATTATCTTATAAAATAGCTACCAGTGTCACATTTGATTTACTCTGCTGGCCTTAGAAATATTGGAAAAGGTTGCTTATACATTTTCTTTCATCTTATTTTACAAGGGCCACGGCTACTCAAAGAGGTCAGATCATATTCAAGGATGCCCTGGTTCAACAGCTGTGTGAACGAGGAGGTAAGAAAAAATTTTGTTCATTCCCTGTCTTGAAAAATAAACTGTCACCATCTCTCCTGTTGTAGTTCCATGTAGCATTGTCCATATTGTACAACCACAGCCTATGGAACTTCTGTACCTTGTTTTGCTGAAAAATCCTTGTAATTGATTTCTTCAATTATCCATGAAAAACTCTGGTTTCTAATGATACCATTGATTTTACAAGTCTTTTCTTGTGATGTTTCTTAACCGATCTTTGGTATTATAACCTTGTTGGATGGGTGGTATCCACAGGTACCAATTATCATCCAGGATTTGTTCAGGTGGTCAATCATAGTCAAACTTTAGCAGAAATGGACTATTTCATTAAAGTAAGCATCACAACAGTATTTTCCCAATTCCAGTCCATACATTTCCATGAGAGATCAATGATGGTCAAAAGCATGAAGTGTGGCTCATTTTCTCCTTCTTTAGCTAGTTATGATGCTACCCTAAATTAGCTCATCACTGTCTTAGAATTGACCAACATTTTCCTACTCTATGTGGCTTAACTGTTGAATATTACATTATTAAAGGAGCACTCCACAATTATTTTTATAAGCATTTTCAGTTCGCTTGGTCTCAAATTGTTGTATAATGGACCTTCACCTCAGTCACCTTGGTGAAAGATACATCAGATAATTTTGCTGGCCACATCCTCCTTTTCGGTTGGGATGTGAAAGGCCTGACTGATGGATAAAAACCACTTGGTAATTCAAATGTTTTAAACTGCAGTTCATTGCCAAATAGCAATCAGATGTGGGTTATGTTGGTTTGATATACATTGTTACTAAAATGATGAGGGAGACGTCAGTATTGGGTCTGACTCCTTCAAGGCCCTTATGACATCAACTTATTAGGTGATGCTTAATACACTCTTTGGCATTAATTCTCTCAGAGCCCTACACCTACATACAATATCTTTCTCCAAGCTTTTGTCCCACCATCAATATTTATACATTTTTGTATGTAATTACATTTACGAATGCTTCACCTCCGCAAAGTCTCTGATTCCACAAATGCAGGTGGTTTGGACATTTCATTATTGTGCCAGAATATGTTTACTTCCTACTTGAAGACTAGTAAGTCTCTAGGTTGAAGACTGCTGATTTTGCCACTGTTCTTGTAAATCTGTAAAATTGAAGAACCTTTAATCCCCTAGATTTCTTTTGCAGAGAATGTCTTTCCTACTGAAACAGACAAATGCTCCATTACAATCTCTGAAGGATCTCTAATCTTCTGAATATCCTTTGAGGATGACAACTGTCCTGTTGAAACAGGTGTTTTCTTTTTTGCATTATCTTGGATTTCTGAACCAGGGAATTTCTTTTTGACAGTCTCCCTGATCGCTGATCTCTGAACCAATCAGTTTTTTGGAACAGTATTCTGGATCTATGAACCAGACAATTTCTTTTTGGTAATACCCTGGATCTTTAGACCAAGCAATTTCTTTTTGACCATGTCGTTAACCTGTGAACAGTGGTCATTCCGTCTCTTTGGTGGCTTCCATGGAGTTGGATGCACCACACCTGTAATCTGTGTGATTGTACTGTAGTAGGCTGCAAAGATCTTTTTCTTCTGCTATAGTACACTATCTGATAACATAGTGACATTTGCCTCCTTTGCAAACTTAAAATTTGGAAAATATCTATTGATATAAATATCTTCTTGCCAAAACTCTTGGTTTGGATCACCTATTTACCCTCAGAATTTCTTTGTTTTTTCCTTCTAAGATGGGAAGACAAATGGTGAGATGACACATGAGTCTACAGGAGTACAGACAGGTTAAATGAATGAGCAAAAATGTGGCAGATGGAATATAATGTGAGAAAACGTGAGGTTATGAACTTTGGCAGGAAGAACAGAGCTTAATGTTATTTAAATGGAGAAAGAATGTAGGAAGCTGTAGCACAGGGATTTGGGGATCCTTGTGCATAAATCACAAGAAGTTAGCATACGAGTTCAACAGGCCATAGGAAAGGCAAATGGAATGTTGGCCTTTATTTCTAAGGGAATAGAGTGTAAAAATAAGGAAGTCTTGCTAAAACTATATAAAGCACGAGTTAGACTACACTTGTAATAATATAGTTTAGGTCCCCTTTTTGGCAAACTCTAGGATCAAAGGGCGTAATCTCAGAGTAAGTGGTGGCCTAATTAAAACAGAGATGAGGAGGAATTTCTTCTCTGAATTTAGAGAATTTGTGGAATTCTTTACCACAGTGATCTGTGGCGGGTTTGTCATTAAATATTTCAAGGCTGGGATAGACTGACTTTTAATCAGTTAAAGAATCAAGAGTTATAGGAGAAAAAAAGAGGAAGGTGGTGTTGAGGATTAACTCCTTTTTCTAGCAATATTATTTCAAATGTGGTTACTAATTTGAATTGCTTTAAAAGATCTCAGTTTTGCAGTACAACAATACTGCTATTGCATGCTGATGCTTTGTGCAATGAAAGTGGAGGATTCCCACCATATACAAATAAAATGGACGAGTCTCTCCTTTTTACAACACAATTGCTGACTTCGGTCTTTTTGAAGCCTAATAAATGGTTCTCCTTTAATGGCTTTACAAAATAAATCCCACTACCTGTGTCTTTAAAGGTAATCAGCTTCTCCCAAAGACTTTACTAAATATATCCCGCTACTAATAATCTCCACAAACATGCTTTTTTCCAAAGAAAATTGTCACTGTCTGTAATCTTAACAAATTCTTCTCGCATTTAGTGTGGTTTACTGTGGTTTAAATAATATATCTCCTGGCTTCTTCTGTGGTTCTGTATTTTCCTAACCTCCTCCTCCTGATGGAGATTGTTTGCTTAGTCTTCTAATTTTCCCCAGTAACTTTAATTCTGGCTTTGTGATATTTCCAATACTAGAATCTCATTTTAAAATTATTTCTGTGGCCCTTGATCTCTCTTATTAATGTTTTACCATGTGGTACCTACCCACAATAGCAACATTGTTCCCTGAGTTGTAAGTATGTCACTTACTTCTAGCTTTCTCACACTGTATCTGCATTGTATTTTTAAAGTTTTTCACCTTGGCCACCAAAGATATCATCTTTACTCTCAAAACTGCCAATGTACGTTTGCTGTCCAACTAAACCTTGACTTGGGGCCCCTACAGTTCATTGCCACTTGATGCAACCAAATGTGATTAGCATTCCAGCTTCATCTAGCTTCTAGCTCACAATTACTTCTCCTATCTCTTCCCAGGTCTGAAATGCTATTTATGATTGCATATAGATTCTGGCTTGTAGAATCTTGCCACTGGTTTCTCTTCTGCAGAATTCTAGAAGGTGCAACCCTTCAATTGCGTCTGCATACACATCCTACTTAATGCTGTGTCTGAAGATTCTTAAAGCTCAGTGGAATCTGCAAAACTTTTCACCATGTTGTATGACGTAGCCTCATCACAGTCACTTTGGTGAAAGGTAGATTTTCTGGTACAACCCTCCTTTTAGTTTGGGACCTAAAGGGCCTGACTGGTCTTGTATGGTAGATGAAAACCAATTGGTAGTTTAATGAAATATGTAGTTCATTGCAAGCTGCCAATCAGCTACAAATTTCTTTCGTGAGATAGACATTATTACTAAGACTATGAAGAATACCTTGATCTTAGGTCTGACCCTCTTTGAGGTCCAAAGTTGTTCTCCCAGCCATGTCCATATGCCATCATCATATAATTCACTCCTCATTACGAATCCATTTTGATCCTTACACCCTTATTACAACAGACTAAGCCCGACCTCCTGCACAAGAAAGTGTTACACCTCAGAGGGTGAATGGGTGCCATGCTGAAACTTAATGCTAGAGGAAGCGTAAGAGTCACCACTCTAACCTGGTTTCCAATTTTTCTACTGGCAAAGAATGGCCAAAATCAGGAACTGAGAAGATGAACAATTTATTCCTGAGACCTGCATCCTGCCTCTCTAGTGGTTCATATTCGGTTTCCAGAAAATGGTAGCACCATGCCACTCTGCAGTGCTGCTTGGTAAATTGGAATGAAATCTGAAATGAATTCAAATTGCAGCAACTCTGCTTTAGTGGTGTTTATGATTAATCCAAGCAACTGTAAATTACTCCAGTTAAAATTCTAATTAAAGACACTAATTTTCTAATGAATCAGATATATCAGCTGAAGGCTCAGCTCCATCTTTACAAATTGATCACAAACATTTTAAAAGATTACAAAAACTGGCAAAAGTCTTCACATTTTGGGTTCATATTTTGTAAAACGTATTGTTATTCCAGAATAAATTGATTTTAGAAAACTTTTCACAAAATGTTTGCTCTTTAAGCAGGCTCTCCTTGAGCTGGCATCTTGCTGAAGTACTCTGCATTGGGAGATTTTAAATGAGTCATAATCTATGACATATTTGGCAATCCAATAATGGAACAAGACAGAGTGCCACTGTATAACTAACATGTTCATTGGTAATACCTTCAAGGATAGAGCTAGCATTGGAAATGGGGATCATTCCAAATATGTTCAAATAATGCCTAAAAACACTACCTTAAGTGTTAGAGTGAACCAGCTGGTCATGAGTGGAAAGCAAAGCCCGATGCTAATATGCTGCATGGTTCTAACCAGTTAAACTTTAGAATTCTCCCATTGCCAATTTGAGAGCATAGGGGTTGTTGCTTAAATGTAGTACAAGGACTAAATATTCCTACATAAGGTAAACAGAAACTCTATATGTATTTCTAATTAGTTAAATTTCATATCCCTTGAGTCTAGTGATGTGTTTGCACACATTAGTTAACTGCACAAAAGAGGAGCAGTATTTTTCATGTTTTTATTATATATGACATGTCACAATTCTTGTCCAGTGTGAATGTCATCTACAAATGACCAATTTCACACTAAAAATGTCATTACAGTGTTAAAATATTAAATATTAGAAAACCTAGAGACTGTATTAATGAACAATGTCAGACCAACTATTAAGTAAAGCTTTTGGCTTAAGATACTCGAGAAATTT